AAAGACCAGCATGATTTTCATGCTGGTCTATGCTGGTGTGGAAATATAAATTTATATCATCTAATTTCAAATTAACAATAATCTACGTATAACTAAAAAGTTATATTCTCTGGTTTTTAATTATATAATTTCATTAACATCCCAGCTAGGAAGGACATTAACCTTTTGTCTTTCTGATTACAGGCTAAGCCAATGTAATGCAAATTGTCAGTTTCACAGCATGGGGTGTCTATTGTTTTCTCTTTTCGATCAAATGGTCAGGCGGTTTCTGTCTCCAGAACATGATGAGATTAGACCTGAGAAGCAGTTTACCCTGCCGACCACAACCCTTAATTTGCATGCTTTGTGTAGCCATATCCCCTCCTCTTAAGAACACAATATAGCCATGAAATCTTTGTCTTAATTCAGACTAATTCAGACTTGTGTGAGACTTGTGAGAGACTTGTGAAAGAACTTGCAGACTGCAGACCTCTAGTAGGCTCTTGCAGACGCGGACATCTTGAAGACGCTGTATGACTGCAGATTAACCAACACGTCTCAATAAAGGAATTCTGCTTGTTTCGAGTCTCCTGGACTGGGTTCTCTTCTTCTTTTCACTCATTTATTATTTTTTTACAACAACTTGGTGCCGTGAGCCGGATAGACTGAAATCATCAAATTCTCAACAATTTGCCACAAAAGACTGAAATCTTCCTGAAATTCAACTTGAACCTTCAAGATCAAGGAAACTTCTTCAGACGGAATCTTCAGCTCAACGGCAATTTGAAGTCACTCAGCGGACGTCACAAATTCTCAACTATTTGCTGACTGCAACCCTGATGAACATTGAAGACCTGAATACAAAGATCAGATCACTCCAGACTGAATCTTTTCAGCTCAACCTCGATTTGGTGAGTTTCACTCTATCAAAAGAACCATACAGACCAGTCTATACACATGGTTATTCTCTGCTCCATCAGAGAAAAGTTAACAAACAGCTGCAGGGTTTGTTTAACAAAAAGTTATCTTCTATTTCAATAGAGAAGTAACAGTTTATCCTCTGTTCAGACAGAGAAGTAAAGCCTTACGTGCTATTTTCTTTTAAAAAGTTATCCTCTCTTCAGAGAAGTTAAGCCTTATGCGCTATTTTCTTTTATTTTGTTTAACCTCTGTTCAACCAGAGAAGTTTAAGTTTAGCTATACAAGCTAATTGATGTTATCTCTTGTTCAGGCAGGAAGTTTTAGCAACATGTGCTAATATTGTTACCCTCTGTTTCGCCAGAGAAGAAATTACTACACTTTCATCTGAAAAGTTTTAGTATTTTTACTTTGTGATAATAAGCTCACAAAATGTTCAGACAGAATACAAGACTGATCACTACAACTGAAAAAGGTGGTTTAACATCTTCTTTATTGTCTGCTACAGAGAATTCAGTTTATCTCGAGCTAAACAAAAAGCTCAGGCTAAATCTGAATTAGAGAAACAGATCCAAGAGCTTCATGCTAGGATAACCTCATTAACAAAACAACTGAACCTCAAGAAATCAAAAACTGACATTGAGGAGGTTAGTCAGCCTGATAATAAACATCCTGACTTACAAACTGTCTCTGAAACAGACATTACCATCCAGTCAGTAAATGATATACCTATAGGTTCAGTGGAGGTTTGTGGTGCCAGCAGATCTAAGAGAACTGAGAGTTCACACAACAACACTTCTGTTGTTCAAATTCAAACAGTTTCAAGAACACTAGGACCTAGAGAAATAGACAGACTGTCTCAAAGCTTACCATCAGCACGCACAAATTTTTCAGAGTTTAGCAGAGCACTAATCAGCAAAATGCGTCTTTATGACATGTCATTAACAGAAGTCACCCAGCTAATGTCTCAAATTCTCACTGAATCTGAATTCAACAGTTTTGAGCATACTGTGACTTCTAAATTACAACATGCCAGTAAGGATGATTTGAGAGAGGGTGTTTTGAAAGCTCTAAAGAACATTGTTGGCCCAAAGATCGACTGGTCAAAAGTGACTTGTTGTGTGCAAAGGAAAGATGAATCTGTGAATGAATTCACTGAGAGATTTTGTCAATCCGCCATAACTTACAGTGGATTAGCTGATAATTCGGACAGTGTGCTAAATGACAAGGGACCCCTAGTCCGCATCTGGTCAGATGGCCTTGCAACTGAATACAGACAAGCTTTGCCATTTCTTAACATCACCTGGTCTTCCACCACTCTCAGAAATAATATGAACAGTTTAGCTTTGTGGGAAAGAGACTCTCATATCAAAGACAGAGTCAGATTTGAAGCAGCTGCCACTAAGGTCAACACAGAAAAGACATCAAATCACAAATGTCTTAGGAAAAATATCTGTTGTCATTACTGTGGTAAAAAAAGGACATTGGATGAGGGAGTGTAGAAAGAATAAAAAGAACTTTAAAGAGATGAACAGGGTAAATCAACTTCTGAACAGTTTGCTAAATGCCCTCAACATACCCCTCCCCTCATCACTAAATCCATTGAGCTGTCCACAAAGATGCTAACCATTTTTTGGCTGTGAGTGCTTAATGTCCCAGTTCATTTACAATTAAGATGAAAGACTCTTTGTAAAAAGACACAAAGGAAACTTCTTCCTTTTTATTGGGGAACTCTGCTTAAGTCCACTTACAGCCTTGAATGTGTTTTAACACATATTTTCAATCACTACCCATTCAATGTTATGATGTCTGATAGGACTGATATTTATTGAATGATAGTTTGTGTCTCACATCTTAAAGTTTGCCCACCACACTCAGGGACAGAACAGGACACACAAATCAGTGAGGAGCCCAGGGCAGAACTGAAAGCAACAGGCTTCAGGGGCCGCACCCTGTGGTGAAGACTCCCTTTTTCCCCATTTATCCTCACCTCACTGTTTTATAGGTGTCATAACTTTAAGATTAGGAGACAGAAAATACACAACACTATACGATCACCAACTTAACACAACCACTATACGATCACCTGAATAACTAGACACACGAACTATGATCATACAAGTCTATGCATGAATACTGCTGGTCTGCTGTTTCCGTGTTTTCTTGTGTGCAGGTAAACACAAACACTGCATCTTCTCAAGAAACACTCTAAACCAGAGCATCACTACGGAGATCCAGGAATGACAGGAAGTCATCAGATCAACTCTGTGCTGGAGAAGAACCACAAGAAACACACCTCACAAAAGACTGAACACTATTCACAAGCCATGGACTTTCAGAAGATCTGCAGTTTAACTACATGATTTTTTTGTGTCATCATGTAGGATTTATGACATTACAACTGATTGTCATAAACGTGTGAACAGTTTAGAAATCTACACTTACATCTATGTAGATATTGAAATGACACAGAATAAGTTAAATGTGCCTGTAACTTTTTTCAAGTTACATGACTAGAAGATGGGGCTTCTGTTATCAAACAGAAGCCATTGAATGGTTTTAGGAAAGCTTACAAATTTATATTTTTTTGTGAGAGTTTTTAAATAACTCTCAAAGGGGGAACTGTGGAAATATAATTTTATATCATCTAATTTCAAATTAACAATAATCTACGTATAACTAAAAAGTTATATTCTCTGGTTTTTAATTATATAATTTCATTAACATCCCAGCTAGGAAGGACATTAACCTTTTGTCTTTCTGATTACAGGCTAAGCCAATGTAATGCAAATTGTCAGTTTCACAGCATGGGGTGTCTATTGTTTTCTCTTTTCGATCAAATGGTCAGGCGGTTTCTGTCTCCAGAACATGATGAGATTAGACCTGAGAAGCAGTTTACCCTGCCGACCACAACCCTTAATTTGCATGCTTTGTGTAGCCATATCCCCTCCTCCTAAGAACACAATATAGCCATGAAATCTTTGTCTTAATTCAGACTAATTCAGACTTGTGTGAGACTTGTGGGAGACTTGTGAAAGAACTTGCAGACTGCAGACCTCTAGTAGGCTCTTGCAGACGCGGACATCTTGAAGACGCTGTATGACTGCAGATTAACCAACACGTCTCAATAAAGGAATTCTGCTTGTTTCGAGTCTCCTGGACTGGGTTCTCTTCTTCTTTTCACTCATTTATTATTTTTTTACAACACTGGTCAATGCTGGTTTAGCTGGTTTACCAGCTTGGTCTTGCTGGTGATGCTGGTAGACCAGCTTGGTTTTGCTAGTTGACCAGCTTGGTCTTGCTGGTAGACCAACTTGGTCTTGCTGATGATGCTGGTGGACCAGATTGGTCTTGCTGGTGATGCTGGTAGACCAGCTTGGTCTTGCTGGTGATGCTGGTAGACCAGCTTGGTCTTGCTGGTGAAGCTGGTAGATAAGCTTGGTCTTGCTGGTAGACCAGCTTCGGCTTGCTGGTCAGGCTAGTCTACCAGCTTGGTCTTGCTGGTCATGCTGGTCTACCAGCTTGGTCTTGCTGGTTATGCTGGTAGACCAGCTTCGGCTTGCTGGTCATGCTTGTCTACCAGCTTAGTATTGCTGGTAATGCTGGTCTATGTTTGGTGGACAAGCAAGACAAAACTACCACCCAGATAGCATACAGTTCTGGGCCACATCTGGGCCAACTAAGGCACATATGGCTCCCTTCTGGCAATGGCAGGAGACATATGGGCCAGATGTGGCCCGTATGTGACACACCGGGTGACCGGGTTTAAGGTCAAAATTATTAACCCCTTTAAGCTATATATTTTTTCGACAGTTTCAGAACAAATCATTGTTATAAAATAACTTGCCTAATTACCCTTACCCTAATATATATATATATATATATATATATATATATATATATATATATATATATATATATTTATTTATTTATTTAAAAACATAATCATAAACTGCCCCCTGGTGGCGAATATGTGTTTCGCTTCATCCTTGCATTACGGTGGAGTGGGCGGAGCCTCGTGAATGACGGTTAATTTTTTCAAACGAGAAAGTGAAGTCAAGTCCGCCATTTCATCTTCTTCTTTTTATCGGGTAAGTTATTATTTTAAAATCATATTTGTGAGATATTTGTCGTCAGGTAATGTTTTTATTAGTTAGAAAAGCCCCTGTTTTGAATAGTGATAAAACTGTAACTTATATGTGGATAATATGGCTAAAAACGGCTAAGAATGATGGCAGCCGTCAGTTCAGTAACGTTAATCTGTTAAGTTGATTGTGCTCGGGGTTTTAACAAACTCATTTAAGTTACAATTGTCCTTTTACGCTCGTCATTCCCAATTAAATGATCAATAAGACGTGTTATATGAAGAACAGCGTCGAAACGGGAGCTTGAATGAATGAATCATATGCTGTCCGTTTTATACAGTTGTAATAGGTGCCGAATTCTGCTTTTGTACTGGTTTTAGCTCAAACACTGAACGAACAGTCTCTTTTTGGTAACGTTAATCCTAATGATCTTGATTTGCTTGTTAATGTGTGTTTTATCAAGTTTCAGCAAACGTTTACAGAGTAACGTTATGTGGTTCATGCTGGCCACTGTTGAGACTGGTCTGCATTAAAAAAATTTTAAAGCCAAAACGTTTGAAAAAAAAATCCACAGTTGAAACATGATGTGTTAAATGACTTATGAAGGAAATTAATAAGCTAAAAAAGAAGGCTAAGTGTGTTATGAAATATTAAACCTTGTTAAAAAATAAAATCAATTGTGTTAAATAAGCTTAAAATCCATATCTTATGTTTTATATTACTTCAAAACAGCCTGGAAACTGAATTGCACCATTAATCTTGTACTTATGTATCAAGTCCAAACAAATGGTTTTGTGGCAAGTAAAAATAATATTTTTATAAATTGATTGTATTGTATTAATTTGTTACAGAAAAGAAAGGAATCATGCAAGGATGCAAGCTGAAGGAAAGGACAACTCTCACATCAGTGCATTACTAATTGTTTGACTTCATCATCAAGCACACCAGGTACAATATTGTACATATTTTGTAACTTGTATATGTCAGACTGGTTGTTGGGAACTGAAATAATATATTTTATGTTTTATTTATTTTTAAAATATTACAAGATTTATTGCTGCTATTTTATCACTGTGTGAGGTCATAGCTTATTTAAAATATCTATTATTAAAAAAAATCAAATTTGAAAGAAAGTCTAAATGTTTCCACAAGGTAATTTATTGAATTGTTTTCTGAAAATGTAAAATTTGAAAGTATTGGTGAGCTGGAAAAACAGAGTCTGTTGACGTAACCTTTATTTTTATCTTAACTTTTTATTTTATGTTAAAAGTAGATTAATTTACCTTGGATCGCATGTTTAAGTTATAATTTCAGAGTGAAAAATGTAAAAGAAAACCATTGAAAACAATGGCATAATGATTTTGCTTGTTCACAAGAGGTACTTGATTTATTTTTCCTGTAGTGATACATACGTTTTTAAGACTAATGCTTGACACTTGAATTTTAAAGGGATAGTTCACCCAAAAATAATGACATCTTTTATCCTCCACTTGTTTCAAAATATTTTTTTTGTTCTGTTGAACATAAACTCAGGTGGTGCGGTGCACAGTGGATAGCTCTGTTGCCTCCCAGCAAAAATGTTTCTGGTTCGAGCCTCGGCTGGGTCAGTTGGCATTTCTGTGTGAAGTTTGTATGTTCTCCCCGTGTTGGCGTGGGTCTCTTCCGGGTGCTCCAGTTTCCCCCACAAGACATGCGGTACAGGTGAATTGGGTAAGCTAAATTGTCCTTAGTGAATGTGTGTAAATGAGAGTGTATGGGTTTTTCCCAGTGATGTGTTGCAGCTGGAGGAGTATCTGCTGCGTAAAACATGCTGGATAAGTTGACTGTTCATTCCACTTTGGTGACCCCAGATTAATAAAGGGATGAAGCTGAAAAGAAAATGAATGAACACAAACCCAGTTTTTCCTACTATGTTAATCAATAGTTACAGGTTTCTAACATTCTTCAAAATATCTGCTTTAGTGTTGAACAGATTCAAACTGCTTTGAAACAAGTTGAGGATGAATAAATTGTGGCAGAATAGTAAACTAAATCTTTAAATGTTTTATTCTGTATGTTATGTGTATTCATATTTGTCTTGTCTTTTGTCATATTGTCCTTCTAGCTCAGATTGTGATGGACCTGGAATGCGACACCAGTTACTCTTAAGTCAAGAACCAAATGAAGCACCAGAGTACAGATTATGGAGATATCTGAAGTTGAACTAACTGGAAGCAGGGAACCATACTAATAAAGTTCCTTAAGGTAAAAGCACCTGCTTTATTTTGATAGGTAGTATTTTTTTATAGAGTTCTATTGTTTTATTCTTATTCTAATTTTATTTTATTCATATACTGAATGGAAGTCATTCAAATTTCACAACAAATGATTTGCAGATTGAATATAAAATATAATGACATTTTAATGCATTATTTCTTTTGGTTATTCTTTACATCTATAAATGGGCAAGTATTTAATCAATGAAAATAATTTTAAACAACTTAACTAACCAAATTACTCTGTTGGACCCTAACATTTAAAATAGCAAAATCCTCAAACTAACACACACTCTTGTGAATGCATTCTCACATTCATACACTCAAAAACACACATTCATACAACAGTCTGTCTCAGTCTGACTCACACACAACATCCTCTCTCACAGGTTTTTCTAGCAAACCTCCACCACTAGCTTGTCCTTTTATGCTGCTTTTATTTCAAACATTTTAGAGCATGATATAGTCCAGGTTTTTATCACTAAGTATTTTTTTTCCATTCAGCAGGTTCCTTGTAAAGATGAACCCAGGGAAGGATCGAAAGTGGAGAAGACCAGATCAAGAAAGACTACATCAAGATCTGCGGTCAGTTCAAAGGTACTTTCACTAATTACCAAGATTTCAGACTATGAATTGATGGAGAGAACTTTGAGTGTCAGATCTTCCTACATCGCCTAGCAAAAATTCTTCCCAGTGTCTTGTAGTAGAAGTGATGCAGTCAATCGAGTTTACATTATTTCGTAAATTGCTTTCTGATTTAATAAAAAATATATTAACCAAACTTGATTAATGTAACAATTTTGAAGAAAAGGGCATGTTTTACTAGAGCTTTTAGCACAAAGGCACCCCCATCTTGGAATATTGCTGTGTCTGACGTCACGGGGTTGGTATGCTGGAAACGTTTTTGAATGAGGTATTTGTATGATTTATACATAGTCTGTCTTAAAGCGTAACTAAATTGTACAGGCATTACAGGTCAAAGCAATCTGTTGTTACATTTATCATTATAAACAATAAGGCTCTTAAAACACTGCTTTGAAAAATGTAGAAAATGTAAAAAAATATTTAAAATATTTTATAATATTAATAGTATTATAATATTATATTAATATTATACTTAGGAAGTATAAAACCTTCCTAAGCTTGAAAATATACTAAACTTCCTTAAAGGAAATAAACTTCCTTTGTTAGTGCAAATTCCTTTTTATGTAGTCTAGTAATTAAACAATTAAACCATTCAAACAAGTTTACACTTAAAAAAGGTTCGTAATGAAAATCCGATTTTTTTTTTCCAAATGTAACTAACTAAAATAGTACCATGTACTTTTACTCTGTATTAGTATTATTTACAATTTTTTTTTTTTTTTAGCAATATAATAGTATTTATAGTCCTTTAATTGAATGTAATTTAATTTTCTGTTCTCTTTCCATCTATAAAAACATTTAAAAAATAATTTCACAAGCACATTTAAAATAGGTTTAATACTATGAAATATTATATTAATATTATTATTTTTTTTTTTATAAATCGATAGGTAGTTCCTATGGAATGTTTTTATGAATTGCTGAGAATACATTTCAGGTGTTCAATACGTTGCTTGTCAGTCTTAAAAATAAAAATAGGTGCTTAAAAAAGTGCTTAAAAGTCCTTAATTTTAATCGAGTTGTGCCTGTATGTACTCTGCAAACAGCACCTTTTAATTGTTGTCCTCTCCTATTTTCAGGATGTTTTGTATTGGACTGTTTTTTTTTGGCTTTGACCCTTGCTTGCCCCTGACCTCACTCTTGGACTGCCCTGTTGGATTTTCAGTTTATTTAATAATTTTTTTTTTTTTTGGTTCTGGGTAGATGCTAATAAATATTTAGTTGTAATTATTTAAGGTAAATCAAAGGCGGCAACACCAAGGCTCCCAAAATACAAATTTATTAAATTAAAAAGGCTGACACAGAGCGTGTAACGTTTTGAGCCGCCGGCTCTTCATCAGACAAAGTCTTTTTCGTTGTAATTATTTAAGCAATATGTTTTTGTTAAATATGCGATTTCTGTGTTTGTTCTGTTCTGTTTATCTTGTTTCTGTAATTATCATTTGTTTATTTGACCCTTGCCTCGCCTCTGATCTTGTTTTTGGATTGCCCTTTATATATCTTTTTAATTATTGGTTCTGGTTATATGGTTATAAAATATTTGTTAATTTAATTTATATGCATTTTATTAAAAAAAAAAAAAATAATAATATATATATATATATATATATATATATATATATATATATATATATATTTTTTTTTTTTTTTTCCTGGGTTTTTTTTCTGTATCTATTTATCTAATTTGTATATACATTTGTGTATGTTCTTCTTATTCTGTATATCCACTTACCTAATTTTAACTTTTATATATATTTATTTGCATTTAATTTGTGATAATTCTGTATGCATTTATTTATCTAATTCATATATTTATTTGTATTGCATTGATCAATCTGTTGTTGTTTTTTTTGTATGCATCTATTTATATAATTTATATAAATTATATATTTGTATTTATCAATTTATATGCTTCCTTTAAAGCAATTTTTTTAAATAAAGCAATGTAAACTAAGCATTCCTTTTAATGTGATTTATATAGCTGACAAATGTAGATGTGAGCCACATCTAACCCAAAAGTCAGCCGCAACTGATCCAGATCTGTGAAATTGCATGGGCCGCATCTGGGGCAGATCTGAGAAACTGCATGGGCTGCATGTGGGCCAGATCTGAGAATTTGCATGGGCCGCAGCTGGCCCAGATATGGACCAAGCTTTTTCTGAGATATGGCCCAGATCTGGTTCAGTTGTGGCTGACTTTTGGATCCTTATGACAGCCACAATCAGGTTGAGTCATCGCCGTCATTCCGCGCTGTATGTGGGCCAGAAGAAAGTGGGGGATGTGGGCCATATCTGGGCCCGATGTAATTTGCTATCATGGGATTGCTGGTCACTATCAGCGCCAGCATCCCAGCTGCATCTCATGCTGGTGACCAGCATCCCAGCACCAGCATTCCATGCTGGTCACCAGCATGGCACCCAATCCCAGCAAGATCAGCATATGTTGTGTTTTGGTGCTGGTGACCAGCATGGGATGCTGGTGACCAGCATGGGATTGCTGGTCACTAGCATACCAGCGCCAGCATCCCAGCAGCATCTCATATTTGGGTGCTATGCTGGTGACCAGCATGAAATGCTGGTGCTGGGATGCTGGTCACCAGCATAGCACCCAAATCCCAGCAAGACCAGCATATGTTGTGTTTTGGTGCTGGTGACCAGCATGGGATGCTGGTGACCAGCATCACAGCACCAGCATCCCATGTTGATCACCAGCATCACAGCACCAGCATCCCATGCTGGTTATCAGCATACCAGCACCAGCATCCCATGCTGGTCTCAAGCATACCAGCACCAAAACAACACATATGCTGGTCTTGCTGGTGACCAGCAATGCTGGTCTATGCTGTTTTTTTCAGCAGGGAGAGTGTGTGTGTGCGCATGTGTGTCTGTTTGTTTGTTTGTTTGTTTGTGTGTGTTTGCCTGTGTGTGAGTGTGTGCAAGTGCATGTGCGTTTGTGTGTGAGAGTGTGTGTGTCTGTGTGTGTGCATGCGTACATGCGTGCATGTGTGTGTGAAAGAGTGTGTGTTTGTGTGTGTGTGTGCGTGCATGTGTTAGTGCATGCGTGTGTGTGTGTGTGAGCTAGAGAGTTTGTGTGCGTGTGTGTGTGTGTGTGTGTGTGTGTGTATATGTGTGCGTGTAGTCCTACATTTGCGTGGTCCTGCTGTAATCCTCGTGTGTCCTCCATGATCCAGACTGTAAACACACACAGATGGAGAGAATGAGCTGTTTAGTTTCCCCCTCAGCTAATAAGCTAAAGCTAGCACTGAGCTGCTCAGCTACACGCTCCAAACTCTTGAGCTAAAACACACAACACTTGTTGGTTGAGCCGGGATGCACAATGAATGTAACACAGTGCTTTCTTTTCCTCTGCTGTTGGTGAAGCGAGCGCAGATACTGCTCATGTTGATGGAGACACCCTGCTGCAACATTCATTTATTACAGTGATCACACTTAGCTTTGCCATCATTCTTCAGCACATGCAGCCTTTGAGCACATGTTGCAGACCATCTCTAAACTATGTTCAGATTATTAAAGCTGCTCGCCAGCGCCCAAGTTCCTGACAGATTAGCAAGTGAAAAATACACATGTGTGCACAGAGAAGAGGAATCCTACGGAACCCTGGAAGGGACGTAGTGGGGGAGAAAAAAATGGGTGGGTGAAAAAAAAATAATGGGTGAAAGAAAAAAAATGGGTGGGAGGAAAATATATATTTCTAAGTTTTTTGCGTTCTCTCGCAAAGTTTTGCGTTCCCTCGCAAACCCAGCAAACACATAACGTTCCCAGAACGTTCTCGGAAGGTTTTCAGAACGTCCTGGGAACGTTCCCACAACAAACACCCTAACGTTCCCTGTTGGTTAGCCAGGAAAGTTTTCTTGACGTCAACACAACGTTCCCTGCTGGTTCTCTGAACGTTCCCGGGACGTCCCCTGCGGGTTTGCAGAATGTTCCCTGCAGGTTCGCGGAACGTTCCCGCGACGTCCCCTGAGGGTTTGCAGAATGTTCCCTAGATTTTCCCTGCCGGTTTGCAGAACGTTCCCGGGACGTTAGCACAACGTCCCCAGAAAGTTCGCTAAACAGTCTCCAAATGTCTGCATTAACATGCTTAAACACAAATAATCAGACCAAAGAAATAACTTTTTCCATTGTTTATTCTTCAGAAAACGCAAATAGTATGAACCATAAATGATACATTATATAAATAGTTTACATCTACATGAAATAGAAAAATTTTAAACAACTAAATACAAGACTGAATTGCAAATCTTTAAATTACATGAAGAATATGATGCACAACTGGACAATTCTTAGAATAATTTGCAGAACTATGACATTTTAAACAACAAAAATACTAAATGTATTTGCAAATGTTGTATGACTCATAACTGGTAAATTATTAAAATAATTAGCACCTGGAAAACTTTGTATTTATATAAAAAATACATATTTTTAACAACAAAATTGATTTTTAAATGTTTAAAATTTAATAAATTACAATATGATCCATATCTGGTAAATTATTAAAATAATCAGCATTTGCAGATAAATATTTTAAACAAAATAAATGCATGCATGTTTCAAGTGATAAATATTCATATAAGTATGATCCATCACTAGTAAATTACATTTAAAAATATGCATTTGCAGAACAATACATTTATAAATAAAACATTTTAAACAACAAATGTTGCAAATCTAGTGAATCACACTAATAATAGATCCCATGATTGGTCAATTATTCAAATAATTTGCATTTGCAGAAAAAATACATATGAATAAGACATTTTAAGCAACAAAATTGATTGGCAAATATTTTAAATGTAATAATATAGATGTTAATGTATAAAAGAGTTGGAGAAACCTTCTAAAAACATAAGAACAATTGTGGAAAACAAGTCACCACTTGATGTCATGAAATGTTTATTAAATCTAATATTGGAAATTTATCTGCATTGTCCGTTTACAATGTTTATAATTTTGTGGGTCTTACCTTAAAACCCACAAAAAAATCGCTTCCTCAGTCAACTGTTCCAAGTAGTTAGAAAACTTTTGGCTTTGGTTTAATTTATGACAATTATTATTAGGCAATAATAAAAAAATATATATAGAAGATGTTACAAATATAAAGATGTTAGAAAGCTCAGTGTTACAAAGCATTACACAAATCTGTCCAGTAGAGGTCACTAACGGATTGCTAATCACATATGCCGTTTAAAGATGTGCACATGAGAGAACAAAACAGTCTGAGTGAAGCATCTGGCAGTGAAGTTGTGTGTTGCTAACTATCGTTGTTTGGTGGATTTGTGTGTGTTATAAACAAATCACATTTTTATTCACCAATGTGGAATAAAGCAACCAAAGTTCACTAAACCAGACTCATGCATTCTAACCGATGAATCACAGTGATCACCACCTTTAAACTAGCAACTTAGTTGAATGCTTCTCAACTCAGATTTCTTGCTAGTTTTTCCATTTTAGGCTGTAGGCACCAAAGATGTCATTCTGATGGAACTGTCTTCATGTTTTGTGCACAGAAGCTCCAAGGATTGCTTCGCCAGGTAGTTCATCTGTAAAACAAATGTCAGTAAAAAACAACAATTATTCATTTTGACAGCAGCTGGAAGAACGGTCTACTTGTTTGCATTAAAGAGTCAAACAATCACATACTTAAATTAAATGATAAAGAGGGTGTAAAAGTGCACTTAAGTTCTTAAGTGCACAATCAACAAATCACATTCAATCGATCACAAATCTATCATTATATTTGTGCCTACACATTAGATTAGTCAGTACTGAAGCCAAATCTGGGGCTTATCAAACAAAATAACTTATAACTCTTAAAACAGAACGTGTGCCTTCAGTGGTTCGAACTGAATATTATCAAGTAAAGGAGAAGAAACTGTTTAATAAAGTTATTATTCTTGTTTTATGTGTGCATAAACATATTCTCATAGCTTCATAATATTTTGATTGAACCAGTGAAGGCATATGGTCTGAGGATTTGTTTGGGTTCCTTTTCTGAATTTTGAAACTGGAACCTTGCTGTCTATGGAGGATGAGAGAGCTCTTAGATTTAATCTAAAATATCATAATTTGTGTTCTAAAGATGAACAAATGTTTGGAATGAAACAAAGATGAGAAATTAATGGCGTAACCTACATTTCTTTATGAACTAATCCTTTAATTAGATTTAAATACAAGTTATTCTTATATTAAATATGTTTATGAACATCAGTTAAAAAAAGTACCTGTATGTACATCAAAAAAATGCAGCAACCTGTGCCTGGATGGATCTTTGTTTATCTGCAAGTGAAAAAAAAAGAAGAAAAGATTAATGAATATGATTTAAATGTTGTACATAACCCATATGTTTTGGTCTGGAGGAGGTCAATCCGATTCCAGGGCTGTGCACTGATTGTGCAAATGAAAAATTGACCCAAAACAAATTATTATGACTGACTAAAATTGACAATGAAAAATTCGCAAATGTGCTTCAACTGGCTTACCAAGAGCAATGGAAATGAAGAAAAAAATACTGTTTTAAAAAAGATTTAATAATCCAACAGTGATTACTGGCTAATCAATATCGAAGGGTTTCTTAAACTTGAAAGCTCATGCTTTGCTATCTTGCAGGGATTTGCTGTAACACACTACTGTACCTGGCAGATTGTTGTAACACTGGAGATCTTGATCAGCTGATTCAGCTCTGCTTAACTGGGGCTGGATGGAGTTCAGTACTGAAAAGAGAAAAAAGAAAGATACTATTTGTGGTATACCCCTAAAAATGAGAACGTGCAATGATATCTGAAAACGCACAAGATGATAAGAAGAGTAATGCATTCAGAAAGACTTTTCAAATCAATTAAAAACAAGATTTTAACATATATTTTCATGATTTAAATGAACTTGAATATAATTATGACATTACTTGGTTGGGTTTACAAGATATAATATATAATCTGTACATTAGAAATCATCTAAGCGAAGTTTGGTTAAATATCAGTGCATTTTTTATGATAACGTTACAGATAACATTATTGTACTCACGTTGCCATTCTACAATATACCAGCTCATATGGCCACCTCGAAGGTTTGGATGAAGAGCAGTTCAACAATAAATCAAACTAACACCATTATGTCTGCAAAATGGTTTAAGTTAATAGATTTGTGTGGTTGTAGAAGATAATATAACGTTAGCCTCAGAAAACGGACTCTGAAGTGGCTAACGTAACGAGTTGACCGTTATAAATTAACCGTTTGCTTTTAAATAGCAAGTACCGTACAATGCGATTAATGATCTCATTAACCTTTACATTCGGTATAATAATTTAGGTTTATGAACAAATTCAGAAAGATTTTGAAAAAGTCCTAAAAAAACACCGAAATCAAAAGACAACTGAGAAACCTACCTTAATTAGCGCAGCTGGCCGACGATGTCATAAAGCTGGAGTTGCCGTGTGAGTGACAGGTCTTCCGTGCGGAGCTCCAGCTGCCTGTCATTGGTTTGAATTAATCACGTGATACAGACGACGCGTCGACGACGCATATAAATTATTAAATCTAAATTACATTGCTAAATATTTTTTAATAAAATAATAAATCATCAAATTATATCACAGATCCAAAGTCCAGAAACAAAAAAAATAAATAAATAATAATTATTTAAAAACACACATGGGTGTTTGTACTATTATAAAAACGAACTGGGAAGGCTCTCTCTAGGTTATGAAAACAAAACACAGAAATAACGTACAGGAAACATTCTGCGAAGGTTCTCTCAGTTATAAAATAAAACATGAAAATAACCTACACAGAACGTTCTGAGAAGGTTCTCTATATGTTATGAAAATAAAACCAACAAATAACCTATAGGGAACGTTCTGAGAAAGTTATCTTTTGGTTATAAAATAAATCCCAAAATTAACCTACAGGGAACGTTCTGGGAAGGTTCTCCCTATGTTACAAAAATAAAACCAACAAATAACCTACAGGGAACGTTCTAAAAAGGTTCTCTTTTGGTTATAAAATAAATCCCAAACTTAACCTACAGGGAACGTTCTGGGAAGGTTCTCTCAAGGTTATGTAAAAAAAAAACCTAAATAAAACCTAGAGGGAACATTCTGGGAAGGTTCTCTGTAGGTTATAAAATAACCATCGAAAATAGCCTGCAGAGAACGTTCTGGGAAGGTTATATTTTGGTTACCAAAAAAATAACCTACAGAGAACGTTCCCAGAACGTTCTTATTTGGTTCCCAACAAAATAACCAAATGGGAACCATATGGGAACGTTAGGGGAAGGTTATGTGTTTGCTGGGAAGATGTTTTGCGTTCTCTCGCAAAACTGTTTCTCCACAAACACTTCCTGTTCACTGCACTCACGTAAACCCTCCCGTTTTTGCCGAAATTCTCCCGTATTTTACCATTTTATCCCTTTCTTTACGTTACTGTGCGTATGCTACCTATGAACCAGTGAATGCATGTATAAGCGCTGACTGACAGACGCTCTTCGTACAATAAACTGATCCCAGATCAGCGTCTGTACACGCCATTTACAGAGGAGCGGGTGTATGTTTAAACAGACAAATACACTGAATAATATGAAACACCTCCGTCCTGCATGTTTTATTTTAAACAGCTTATTTTCTCTTAAATGAGCACAAACAGTTTCTAAAGTAATGGAATGCTTTCATTATAGATCTGTGCATTCTTACAGAGACACCTCTGTTATCAAACTAAACAAAACATGAGATTCATTTGTTGCGCACTTGTTTGATAACAGAAATGTCCCTTTAAATGGCGCGTACAGACGCTGAGCTGGGATCAGTTTATTGTATGGAGCGCGTCTGTCAGTCAGCGCTTATACCCAGACAGCACACATACGTTGGGCCGACGTCGTGCCGATTTTCAAAATTCCATCGGCGCGATGTCGCTCAGGGAGCGTTTGCTAATTGGCAAAATGTCGCCGCGACGTCGGCAAATGATCGGAAACGCTGTCCGGCCGATGTTAGGACGACGCAACCGGAAATACCGGCCGCTCCGCGGAGGCGCTGTTCTCAGGCGTTTTGCTCATACTTATGGACCACTAGCTGCAGCAGCTGCTTATTTATAATAAACACGACACACCACTCTCAATAACAGTTGAAGATTTATTAATATTTTCACAAACATACAGACAGATTAACATACTTTTATCACACATAACCATGTTTTACCACGTTTAAAACAAAACCAACAAGTTGTACTATAACCATGGCTGAACTACTGTGCAATAAAGATTTTAAATACAAAGTCCATTGCAGCATTTACATTAAGACCATAGGAATATTTACAAGTACTTCAAAACATGTACACTAAGGGAGACTATAGTTTACTATAGTAAAAACACAAATAACTTGTGTAAGCACATGTTATAATGCTTATAATTTCTTAAATAGTGTTAAAGAAAATGCATGTTTCCAAGACTATAATTTTAATACCAGTCATGATAATACCAGTCATGTGTTCAGTATCCAAAAGACTTTCTTCAAGGAGTTACAATAATAAAAGAGTACACAAACACAAAATAAATACCAAGCAAACAATATTTACAGTAGTAAATAAAATCATACAAATTAAAATAATTGTCTGATAAAATCTTATTAAAGACTGTAGTCAATTTATTTTTTACAATTTTTTTATAAATGGCATTCAACAATTTGCAATCTCCTCTGAACTAATAACACATCAATAATATAAAATAACAATACTTTCTCAGAGATAATCAGTTTTTTTAAGCAAACTCTAATGCACGACACAAAACAGTTTTTGTCATATATATATATATATATATATATATATATATATATATATATATATATATATATATATATATATATATATATATATATAATCCCTTAATTTCTGTTTATAGGATATATTTTTTACCACATTTCTAATCACAATAGTTTTAATAACTAATAACTAATTTCTAATAACTGAGTAAATAATATTTGACTAGATATTTTCAAGACACTTCTATACAGCTTAAAGTGACATTTAAAGGCTTAACTAGGTTAATTAGCTTAACTAGGCAGGTTAGGGTAAGTAGGCAAGTTATTGTATATCGATGGTTTGTTCTGTAGACAGTAGAAAAAAATTGCTTAAAGGGGCTAATAATAATTACCTTAAAATGTTTTTTAAAAAAATTCAAAACTGTTTTTTTTTTCTAGCCGAAATAAAAGAAATAAGACTTTCTCCAGAAGAAAACATAACATTTTCTTGCTCTGACATATATATATATATATATATATATATATATATATATATATATATATATATATATATATATAAATAAAACTGGTTGTAAATTGTGTACAATGTTCCAAGAAAACAGACAAAATTAAAAGAAATAACCTGTCATTTAGTTTTGTTTTATCTTGTGGAATGTTGCTTACACATAAAAGGTGATATATAGGTGGAATAAAAAGTGTGTCGCCATCCTCTAAATTGTTCATGTATGTTGTCTTCATCTTTAGTCTTCACAAGTGAGGCTGGCCCAAACCGGGACTGCAGTAGCCAAATCTAATCCTTGTAGTGGGAACCCTTAAATAAAGCAAGAAACCAAAAGGAGAAAGATTAGCATTGCAGCAGTTCATATTACCACAAATATATACTATTTGTTTCATGACAGACATATAACTGGAGTATGTGTTATGCAAGTGCCTAGCTAAAGTGTGTAATTTAATTTAAACTTAAAGAGTGTGTCTGAGCACTAATTTTCAGAAAAGCCATTTGAAAGTTAAATTCCTTGTGAAATTATAATGAATGTTTTTTTTTTTTTTTTTGGTTTTTAGTATCATTGTGTTAGTATAAATGTGTATCTAAATATATGTCTAATCTTCAGATACCACATTACATGCAAATTAAACTAAGTTTTGTCAACTAAAATGTCACACTGTACACCACATTTAATATATCATGACTAGGGCCAGGAGGAATCTGCAGATGTTTTTTGCTATTTCTGCTGAAAATTTTGGTGGAAGTCTGCGGAATTATTTTGGGAGTATCATAACTAAAACCTTAATATATAAAATAAAAAAATAATATATTTTTAAGTTTTATTTAATGTTTAAAATGCAAATCCAATTAGATTCACGTTATTTGGTAAATAAAGCAAGTTTTTCATATAACATATCTAGTAAGACAGAAAATATTACTGTACAAACCTCATTGTACATAAATCAGATGAACATTTTCACATTAGTCAATAATATTACTGAAATTAATTTAAAAACTGAATAAATATAGATTTACACACGTTTACTCAAGTAAATAAACAGAATTAATGATGGGCTAAACATCTGGGGAGTTCTGCGAAAAATCCGGGTGGGTCTAATCATAGCTTTATTTCTGCTACAAAAAGGTTTTTCAGCAAACAACTTCTATTATATGTAGGCTATAGAGGAGGATATATAAAGAAATTATATATTCAACTCTCTAATTAAATGCACCTGATGCAGCTAATCAAGTCTTTTAGGCTTATTTGAAAACTTAAATGACGTGTTGGACCACAGTTGGACAACGCTCAGTGAGAATACTTTTTTGCACAAATTCTTTCTGTTCTAAAGAAACATGTCTGATTGTTAGCAATCATCAAAGAGCAAACTTTTTTTTTCCAAATAAATACTATGCTCTTAAAAATAAACTTTTCATACATCAAGAATATTAAAAATATGTTTATTTAAAATGTTTTATATTTAAAAAAAAACAGCTTGAGGAGAGAATCAGTACATTGGAATACTATTTTTTCATCATGTGACACTATTAATTATATACATTGTATTAAATTTACAGTATTACTGCTTGACTATATTAATTAAATAAAGCTGACACTATTAGAAGAGAATTTACCATACCAACCTAAAAGCTATGAAACAGTAGTGTATGTTTAAGATGTTACTTACTAGTCCTATTGTACTTTGGAGAGGTTGTCTGACAGGAGGATCCCTTCAACTCAGCAGAATTCTCAGCAGACCATCAGCGTACACCAATCTAGGAATAAAATAAGCAATTAGTTAAAAACCAAAAATATATATATTTTATATTTCCAGGTTTATAGGAAAGAAGAAAGCTAAAGCAGATTTAAAATGTAGGAAAAAAATAAAACCTGTTGACAATTTAATGGCACAACATACCCCAAACTAAGCACGCTCAAATGGTTAATTTACATAAATGACAACTGCTGCTCATTATACCAATATTAACTGTTAAGGATTCATTCATTCATTTTCTTTTGGGCGTAGTCCCTTTAATAATCTGGGGTCGTCACAGCGGAATGAAAGGCCAACTTATCCAGCATATGTTTTACGCAGCGGATGCCTTTCCAGCTGCAACCAATACACACTCATTCACACACACTTATACACTATGGTCAATTTTAGCATACCCAATTCACCTATGTCTTTGGACTTGGGAAAACAGGAGCACCCGGAGGAAACCCACGCCAACACGGGGAGAGCATGCAAACTTCACACAGAAACGCCAACTGACCCAGCCGAGGCTCGAAGCAGCGACCTTCTTGCTGTGAGGCAAACGTGCTA